TGTTAGTCTTAAAGGTGCCACAGGACCCTCTGTTACTTTCTACATTTTTAAGTTACACTTTCATGATAAAGAGATTGCACTACAATACTTGTATGAGATTAACTGAAAAATACTATTTCTTTTGTTTATCATTTTTACATTGCAAATACTTGTAGTAAAAAATAATATAAAGTGAGCACTGTACACTTTGTATTCTGTGTTGTAATAGAAATCAATATATTTGAAAATATAGAAAAATATTTAATAAATTTCAATTGTTATTCTATTGTTTAACAGTGCGATTAATCGTGACTAATTTTTCTAATTGCGATTTTTTTGAGTTAATTACGTGAGTTAACTGCAATTAATCAATAGTCCTAGTTTTAGCATAAAATGTGAAAGTGTTTTCTTTCAACTGAAGTGCAGTATGTCATATTGTCACAATTATATCACACGTAGAAAAAATATGTCACCACCAAAACTCACTCTCTCTCTATATATATTATATATATATTAGGTAAAAAGTCCTATAACTAAACATTTAAGACTGACAAAGCATGAGAATAAATAAGAGCCTAATTTCCAGTTTAAAATCTGATTTTATTACAAAATTATTTAAAAAAAATTCACAATTCACAAAATTCTGCATTACACAGAATTTCAGGGATTCTCTGAAAGCTTTGCTAATGTTCTAACTGTAAAAAGATCTTTTGATGACCATTGATCCAGATTCCCTAAGGTCATTCATCTATTGGCAGTATCACTTCTTTTAAAGGAGTATGATAAGAAGGTTCTCCCCTTTTATGAGGCAGTACTTTGACTCTCAAATGGATCAACAAGCCTGGTTTTACATTGCATTTAGTGGAGATGAATTTTTCCCTTGATTGGTACTGTCTGGTAGAGCAGCTTTGGGTTAACATTCTGGGTTTCTGAGCTAACAATGTCATTGTAGAAAACCGGAAAATAAAAAACTAAGAAAATTCAGATACAAACAGGACTCACCTTGGTACTGCATCCACAGAGGATGAAGCTGGAACCTTGGGCACCTGACAGTTTGCTGCTGCAGCCAGCTTTAAGGCAGATGATGGAACAGCACTTAAAGTCCTAGGTATATGTCGTGCATTGAGTGTGGAAATAGAGTTTACAGTGGCAACTGATGAGGGTACAGTTAATCGAATGTTGTTCCCAAACAGGACCTGAGTTGTTGCAGAGTTGGCAGCGGTTACTTGGTGACTCAGTGCACTGTGGGAACTCGAAGTCTGTGTTATATTTGAAGGCGGTAACAAGGTTGAACCTGCTGCTGACGATGAACTTGTATGTACAAGTGCTGTAGGTGTAGTACTACTGAGGTGTAAGCCCTTGTATACTCCTGCAGAAGAATGAGATTTATTTTTTTTAAAAGAAAACCTGAGACTCCAAACAGGGGTTTCACATACCAACTATGAAAGCAAAATACAATCAGAATGAATTTAGATTTGTATAGCTCTATACCTGAAGCCTGAAGGATGCCATTCACCCCAATTCCAAGCACCACATCATCCTTCATTTTGAATCCCATCAATTGTTCAGATGTTACCAAAGCTGAAGCAGCAAATTGAGCACTAACAGAATCCAATGTCTTGGAAACAAAACCCTAAGAAGAAAGGTGGCAAATAAATGTGATCAAGCTTCAAAAGGTCAATACTCTTCCTATTTTTATGCATAAACTAGTAATGCACAAACCAGTGCAGATAAAGAAAGAACTGATCCTCACTCTTCCCTCAAACCAAACTTCTGATGTTTGGTAAAGTTAGATAAATAATTAAATGCAGTATTCCCCATGTACTTATAATTCCAGTACTAAAATGTGCACAAGTATTTCAAATGCACAATACACTGTCCTTCCATAGCATTTCTCACAAGATTTCTAAACCAATCTGGAAGATTCAAGGAGGTTCGGATGTCCAACAGTAACTTCTGAACTTTTTTGTTTGTCCACTGACACTTTAAATGTTACATATTTAGCTGTTATATATTTTCACAGCTAAAGACAGGACATGTTTATACATTATTATTAAAAGGTAAAAATCTGGCCTCAGAACATACAGTCATACATACAGTCTCAACGGGATAACAACATGGCTGGAATTCTTTGCAATATGTATTCCCGAGTCTTTGCGTATTTCATTTAATTGATTCAGTCATCTTTTTGGCTTTTGTTAAGAGGGAGCAGAGGCAATGCCTGCCACACTCACCTGCAGTGTCCCTTCTAAACACTTTACAGAATGGCTATGATGTAGATTCAGGCGAAAGCCACTTTCCTGTTGGTTAGTTTCAAGGTTCTATGGCAACAGTTGACAATTAGAGATGAACCCTGGTGGGAAACAATGAGGGATAAATCATAGCACAGACAAATCCCTCACCTGTGAAGTGTTGGCAGAGGAATTACTATTTGCTTGCTGTTGATGAATTTGTGCAAACTGCTGTTGCTGCATTAGTGCCAGTTGCTGTTGATGTTGCTGGTATTGTTCGGCTGTAAATGCTGAACAAAATATAAAATGAGAAAATACTATATCAAAATATGTATATGTTGTATATATACACACACACACACACACACATCTTTTAGAATCCTAAAACAAAAATGTTTCAACACACCAAATTCTTAAGAACTTTGTTGCATCTTTATGGCAACAGACTATGATCCTTCTAGAGGTTTTGTCCAAACTAAGTTTTCCCCATTGAGCACATTTGTGGTGAAGTATTAAACACCTTCCGCGTTTAGCTTACAATATTTGAGTGAAGAAATCTCATTTAAGTGACTTTAAGGGAGTAAGCCCAGATTGGCACAAACCACCACTCAGATAAGACTGATCTGCAAAGATCGTGTTTTAGTGTAGTAGGTTAAGACCAACTTTCATATGTGCAGATTTGGGGCATTACACCTCTACCCCGATATAACGCGACCCGATATAACACTAATTCGGATATAACGCGGTAAAGCCGTGCTCTGGGGTGGGAGCTGCGCACTCCGGCGGATCAAAGTAAGTTCGATATAACGCGGTTTCACCTATAACGCGGTAAGATTTTTTGGCTCCCGAGGACAGCGTTATATCGGGGCAGAGGTGCATCTTGTGGGATGTTGAGCATTCTGAACTTCCATGGACTCCAATGGGAGTTAAGGTGCTCACCACCTCCCAGGTGAAGGCCCTCAGGTTTAATATTTAGTTGAAAATACAAAAATGAATTTGATGGATACCAATGAAGACTATTTTACCACATTATGATCTCTCAACATAAACTTCACTATTCCCACCACCCTCTGTTTTGTACAGACTAATATACCTTCTATATTCATATTTAAAAAAAAAAATCATGCACACTGTCAACGGAGAATTTCCTAGAAGCTATTTTCTTCCAAAAAGGAGCTCTTAAGGAATGATCCATTAGTCATAACATGTGTAAATGTCAATCACAATTTTCCCCAGTTAACCCACCTGGGAAAAAAATCCAGTCAATAAGAATGGAGTTGTTTATGTTGATTTACAGAAGGATGTCTGAGGAAAGACACTGTATTATACTAATTTGTCTATGGAGAGATCAGTTCTAAAAAAACAAAAAATAAAATTCATTTTGAATCCCCAAAATGGTTTGTATAGTTTTAATGAAGAAAATCTCTACTGTTAATTTAAAAGTGGGATGATGGTGCAGATTGAATCCATTATAGAGTCAGCCTAGACCACACCATGTGAGTTTTCCCAAATTAAATTTCAGGTGCCCAAATTTCTGTGTATGTTCTCAAAACAAATATTGTGAACATTCTTATGCAACAACTTCCAATGCTTTCTAGAGTTACGACCGTTACCAAATGGAAGGTATCCAACTTTCTACAAGTCAACACAGGACTTAAATGCTTGTTCATGAAATACAGTATCTTGGCCAAAGCTTTTCTCCTTTGTTCCCAACTGCAGAAAATCTGTACTGCTATCAGACTACATGCATCTAATGTTTCCAGAAAAAATAAAAGACTAAAATGTTTTTAATCTTTGCTGAATGTAGATAATAGTTAATCAAATGGATTATGATGATTTGAAAACAGAAGACGAACGAGTTAATCCATAAGAAGTTTCTAAAGATCATATGTCTTCAGCCTACACTCAACTATGAGTTTCTCGGAAATATTTGCTTCATTCGCAGCTACAATTAAGATCTTGCACATGATTATATCTATATGTATCTATCTTTCTTCTGATTATGTATTGAAAGAGCACCAAATCATCACAGAATCTATTTTAGGGTTTTATACTGCTGCCCATCACTGTAGTATTTGAGAGTCTGTATCTAGCAGCTGAACACAGTAAAATGGCATAAGATTTCAAACAAGTTAGCAGCTCTTCCGATAGAGTTCTTTAGTGAATAGGCATACAATGGTTGTTTATATATAGCCATGTGTAATACACTGCATCACCTTCCAACTTATTTCTTTTAAAAATATGGCAAATTGAATTGAGATTTGTCTTGAAGATTTGAAAAAAAAATCAAACATTTACTGCGTTAATAGGTATTTCATTTATATAAATCTTTTTATTAATTATAACTAGTTGGTGCTATATTACAGTGTTTTGAAATTAAGAGTTTAAAGAATCCATACAAATAATGACTAGGAAAGTTAAGATTTTACAATTTAGATGATTTTTCTTCCTGTTCATTCTCAGTCATTTGGTGAAAGGAATTTGCGCTCTAAAGTAACAAGTTTGTAAATGTATTGCTTAAAAATGAATTGAAATGAGTTACTAAAAAAGAGGAAAAATACATAGTTTAAGATTCCAATTGATAAACAATACCATCATAAAGCTGCATATATATTTTAAACAAAGTTTATCTAAAGTTATGGCCCCCTTTTATCTTCCAAAACCTGAATTCAGGATTTTACATTTCAGCTACCTATGATATCAGTCATTTGCTAGGGAAGCAGAGTGCCAAACTAATTAGTTTATAAATGAAAAGACTATATTTTAAAATCATTATTATACAATTTGTAAATTAAAAGCCATGTTAGGGGGACACAAGATAATTTAGTCCTGGGCCCCCGCCCCACAATTACCCCCAACTTCTTATATCATTGATTACATCAGGAAAAAAAAAATCCAGTTAGTCATTAATACTTTGAACAATGAAACCAGACTGGTCAGTTTGATTTGCATATAGTTACTTTCAAATTCCTTAAACATTCTCTTTTGCAACAATAAAATATTGTAATAGCATGGAAGCAATAAAAACACTATCCATCAGAGTTTTAACGCTACATTTTGGGCTTAAACCACTTGAATATTAAAAAAATTAAAATTACAAGTTAACTGAAGTTTACATTTCTGTTTAACAAAGTTAAACACAATTTAACATCCTTGTCTTGTTACTGCTGCACAAAAGCATTGAGTGTGGTCATTGTTGACAGTATTTGACAGATATTAATCTGGTACTTTTTGAAGGATATATTTAGATTTATAAATGAATGTAGTTTCCAAATAGCTTTTCAATGAATTATTGCAGTCCATACAAGAATTATCTTTCCAGCCATTATCAAAATAATTGCAGTAACCATTTAAAAAGGCAAGTGAAAAGAAAAAACTGATTTTCACCCACAGCATTTTAATTATTTAGGCCCAAATTTTCAAAAAATAGAGGCCTAAGGAAGCATTGAAATTCAATGTTAGTTGGCTGCCTGACTCCCTTAGGCATATTTGAAAATCCCAGCATAAGCAGTACAAACGCCTGTTAGCTTTTCTCCTATAACTTCTGGACACTGAGATTACACCTAAAGCATTGACAAGTGACAATTTTTTTGTAGTGGTTAAAGAACCAGACAGTCAAGGGCTCCAAGCATAATTTCCAGTTCTGCCAAAGATTTGGTGTGTGATCTTGGGCTATTCACATCCTCATTATCCTCAGTTACATCCATTTTACAGACAGGAGGAAACACCTCTCTCATAGGGTTATTGCTCAGAGTCAAAGTTTGAAAACTGCTTAAGTACCCTCTGATGGAAACTGTTACAGAAATGTAAAAATATTTGTCACCCCCATAGCATGTGTCAAAATGCTACTTTCACATAACAAAAGGTCCAGTATGCAGGCCATAATCTGTATTTGTTTTAAATCTTTTAGTCACAGAAGCTAACTTTTTAGTCTGAGCTACCTATAGAAAAGCCCTACATACATTGATGACCTAACCAATCAGGAATGCTGATAATATGCTCTGTCCAAACCCAACTGAGATTGATTTTTCTGTGAAGGGGTCTGCATTAAAGAAAAACATCCTAGTTGGCTAAAACAAATCAGATTTATTCTGCTCATTTACAGTCCTCCTAATCTGCTTCCTAATTTTCCTCCCGTACTGAGTACAGATCAGAATTCTCTTGTAGGCCGCTAGGCCAACAGTGTGTTTAGCTCTACTAGTAAGACACTGGTGAGACAGAAGGTTTTGGGAACTGGTTTTTCCTTGTGTAACACACACACACACACACACACACACACACACACACACGACCCAAAAAACCTCGTAAGTGTCCTTACTTTTCAATAAAGGATCTCAATATGCAACCTAATCTTCAGTATCCTTTATTTTCAGTGCATTTGTACAAATCTGATTGGGATTGTGCAAGGCTCTCCTGTGAAATTATGGGTCTTCATGGCAAAGCTGCTCAGCATTGTAAAGTCAAAGAGAGGGTCTAAAGTCTTGAAGTTCAGATCAAGAATGAAACAGTTTCACTATTTTTTCATAAGTGCAAAACTGAATTTCTCCAACAGCTTTTCTAACAGAATATCACATTTCAGAAAAAAATTCTGTTCACCTCTATGAAAAGCCATTTAGTACTAATATTTGTGGATTGGCAGCAAGTAGCTGCCACAAACAGACTACCTATAAGGATTGCAGAGAGAATCCTTTTTGCCTTCATCTACCACATATGATGTTATTGCTTGTAAAGTCAAACCAAGTTTGTTGTGTAAACATGAAAGCTTAGCATCCCAGAATCTTGAATGTCAATAAGATCCAGGTAATGAAGGGAAATTCTAAAACTTGTTGAAATGGGTAATCAGTCTAAAAAAAATTGTAAGAGGATACTTTCTAATTTTTTTTTATTGCTGTGCAGACTTCTGGAACTTTTACTACTTCTCAGCTCTTATTCCATAAATGAAATCATACATGCTTGAAAATCTGACAGATAGACAAGACGGGTGATCACCTCCAACTGGTAAAGCTTCTTATTTCTAGCTCCTACTTCTACCATTCAGTTTTTAGTAATAAAATTGTGAAGTGTGGCTCTTAACATCAATGCTCACAGAAGCATGTTCTTATGACAATTTCACTAGAAAATAGCTTTGCAAGTTTTAATATGTGGTACAATCTGACTAATGAGACGAGCCCAAATCTTTCATCTGTACATATCTGTCTTAGATATAGATTTGTTTCAATATTTCAGTTCAAGGAGCAAGAAAGTAAATACTAATGCAGTAGATTACATTTTTAATTTCAGATCACACAGT